CTGCGGAACTCCCTGATTTTAATAATAAATATCGTAAATAAAGATCTACGGAGATAACTAGATCTGGTCTGGTTGGTATTTATTGTACATAACGTTATGTAGAGAAGCGTCACTTGAAGTATCCCAGATAACAAAATGCCCACAAAATGAGCTCACGACGCGTGCACGTCGTGCGGATAATTTGCACGGCGTGAACTCATGGTGCTAGACAGATGCGTCCTCAAATGATGCTCATATGACTCGCACGCGTGAATGCCGTATGCATGCGGGTCATATGAGAATCAATTGCTCTCACCTTATTGTACCCTACTTTTGTATATGTAATATGTACTATTGCAGTTAGAAAAACGTTAAATTAAAGAAGACCAAATATATATTTATTTATAAACATTTTTATTTTAATATTTGCACACACGTGAGTGCCGCATGCGTGCGGCTCATATGATCATCAATTGCTCTCACATATATTATACATATATTATACATACATATATACGCTCTCTAGATATACGCTCTCATACATTTTATAAAGTTGAAACTCAATGAAATCATATCTCGATACGACAGCAATTGAAACCGACAAGTTTAAAGGACCCCGCACCAAACCACGGGAAAATGGATTCCAGTCAAATTGGCTAAAAATTTAGTATGATGTAGTTTATGACGTCCTGATGAAAAGTGACTATGAGCACAAAGTCCAAAAATGGACAGTTTTCGAGTTACAGAGCGTCAAACATCGGAAAAATGGTTTCATCGGCTCATGGTAGTCCTTAATGTGTGCGGTCATGTTGGTGTGTGTATGTGCGTGTGTGTGTTTAGGTGTAAATAATATCACGCGCACGCAAATACACACATACACACACGCACATTCAGTCAGTCACACACACACACACACACACACACACACACACACACACACACACACACACACACACACAGGCACAAACCAGTACGACCGTACACAGGACTACCATGAGCCGATGAACCCATTTTCCTTATGTTTGACGCTCTGTAACTTGAAAACTCCATGTTTGGACTTTGTGCCCATGGTCACTTCACCAGGACGTCATAAACTATACATAATAAAACTACTAAATTTTCAACCAGCTTGATCGGAATACTATACTTTGACCATAGATTTACCTAAATAAATAAAATTTAAATTAAATATAATTTTTTGTAAAGATAGCATACATGTACAAAGAGAACGCGCAATGATTTTTTTCATATAAATTAATTTTACATAAATTAAACTAATAACTTTTCTTAAATAATCCATACCAATATAAAAATTTGAACGTTTGATTTTAACGTCAATATTTGTAAGATGGTATTTTGCATTTCTTCTCAGTTATATTTTCTATAATATTCGTGATGTATTCTTGTTCTTCTGAATCTTCCTCTTTTTCGTTCTTCGCGTCATGAAAAACATCTTTCTCTTCGTCTTCCGCGGTGCAAACCTCAGGTTCTCCCTTTGCCAGTTTGTCTACAAAAACAATTTATCAATTTAAAAATCTCTTCGAAATTATTTCGAAAACAAACATTTTTGTTCATTCTTCCTTCTTCATTACCTTTCTTTTTATTTTTTCGTTGTTCCTCGCACTGAACGGCATTCTTCATATGAGCGAGTGTTAAACAGTGCTCGTCGTATTCTATGCGAGACGGGAATTCTTTTAGACAAGGGAAGCAGCGGGGATGCAAAAAGGTTTTCAATTGTTGATGCTTTTTGCTCTTTCTATGCGTAGACAAGGTTCCGTATAAATTCAGATCGCACAACGTACAATATTCTCTCACGTTAAAATCTACAGACACCTGCAATCAAAAGATCATAAATAGATACAAAGACTATTATTATATCAAATCTGTATGTGCATCCAACTCTTTTCTAGAAGACATGATTCTTATTTTCTTTCCGCGTCGTTTCGAGTTGTTCAAGCTAAGTTCACGCTGCTCCTCGGCAACTCGCAGCTCGTGTCTCATCATCAGATCGACCTTCAATTTGTACGACTCGTCCAACTTTTCCATCATCAGCTGATGCGCACGTCCACGTAGGTGAGTCGTATCCGTGCTGCTACTGAGCTTGTTCAGATCGGCTAAGGAACGCTCCTCCTCTTCAAGCACGCTTCTGGCCTTATCCAACCAAATCGAGAACGTCGGGAGTTCATTCTTGTACTTTGTTAATTCATCTCTGGCACCAATGAGACGTTTCACTAATATGTCAGTGCGATCTAACGCTTTGTCAAATCGAGTTCTAAGAGAACGACCGTTCTTCCCCAAAGTAGACACTTCGTCGCTGAATAACACATTGCTGCCCGTCAAGACGACCTGTCGAATCTGATCCAAGCAGGATGAAACGGATCGACTGTGCGATTCAAGATTTTTTTTTATTTCTTTCATGATAATTATCTGCTTTCTTAACTGCTCTACGTCTTTCTTGACGGTATCTTGATTCGGTAGCACCACTAAATATCTCCGACAAAATATCTTCGACAAAATAACTCGGGAAAAATATCTCACGTCGAAATATTTCTTCGACACAATATTTTCGACAAAATATTTCACAAAATATAAAATATTGAGCTATCCACACATTTTATTTTAAGAATTATGAAAATATATATTGTTGCGCCCGTGCTGAGACACCCATTGCGCGCTGAACTTCACTCACGAGAAGCCTGAACTTCGCTCCGCGGAAGCTTCAAGTCGAAGCGCGTCCCTTGACAACGGGACTTATAATTTATTGATTTATCTCCGCCTGTCAGATTTATCTGAGGACTCGAACCGTTCGGACCTGTTCTCCAGACCTTTTTATGTATAATCGTTTTGAACCTGAATAAATTCGAGATCTTCTTTTTTTAAAAGAGTGCTTCTTTCTTTCACGAATCCGGGAGTGCGCGGCGCGAACGCTAGTGCTTAAGAAATAGTGAAGCGCAGCGCAACATTTTGGGGGCTCGTCCGGGATACGACGAAATGGCTACGGCGGTTTCCTCGAGAAGAAGGATTCGAGCGGACACGCCTCGGGAGGACGCTCCGGAGACGACGGCAGAGACAGCGGCCCTGCAAACGATAATGCAAGAGATCCACCAGATTGGAAAGGAGCAGAAGGAGCTTGCAGCGGTGCTTCGACAGCGGAATGAGGATTCGCAGCGGCCTCAAACTGCACAGCTAAGTCTTACCAATAATAGACTTTCCGCGAATTCGGAGTTGAGAAACGTATCCGTGAGGGAAGGGGACGCACGGATAGAGCTCGGTTATAAATTAAAGCTCGATACGTACGACGGGAGTGTGCCTCTTCGAAAATTGTTGGCTCAATTTAATTTAATGGCACGGGCAAGTAATTGGAGCGAGTCTGCGAAGACCGTGGTTTTAGCCTTCTTTGAGAGATAGTTTTTTTTTTATATCTGGAGCCTGGAGGATTATAGTTATATTTAATTATTTATAGTTTACTTTTTAGTAAGAAAAGATACTTTTTTTTCTGTGTGCTTTTTCAGTTTCAATACAGTTGGAAGAGGGAACTTAAAGGATTGCTTCCGCGTGCGGTGAAGGTGCCGAGTGACATCAGGCGAAATTGTACAAAAAGGAAAAAAAAAACTAAAGAAGACTGGAGTCCTAGGAACCGTTCGCTTATTCAGCTGCCCTTCCGGATTGTCGGGACGACAATCTTGAAGAGGGAGGGCACACTGCGCCCGTGCTGAGACACCCGTTGCGCGCTGAACTTCACTCACGAGAAGCCTGAACTTCGCTCCGCGGAAGCTTCAAGTCGAAGCGCGTCCTTTGACAACGGGAGTTATAATTTATTAATTTATCTCCGCCTATCAGATTTATCTGAGGACTCGAACCGTTCGGACCTGTTCTCCAGACCTTTTTATGTATAATCGTTCTGAATATGAATAAATCCGAGATCCTCTTTTTTTAAAAGAGTGCTTCTTTTTTTCGCGAATCCGGGAGTGCGCGGCGCGAACACGAGTGCTTAAGAAATAGCAAAGTGCAGCGCAACAATATTATAATTCCCTGCATCAATATTCTTACCATTGATTGTAGGGATATTGTGTCACGCTCGGTTGCACGTAGTCTTGTAGTGGATTGTATTCCATTGTGTATCGGCATCGCACTGCGAAGTCTTATTGTGATATGTTCTGGCTGTTTATTAGTAAGCATTCGATCGTGTGTTAGAGCAGTTCGGCTGTAATTATGCCTCTGAAATTTGTAACAAGTCAAAAGGGAAGTTCTCTTCTCGTACAAAATGGTTTTGTGTATTATAAAGTTTTGTGGCGTTACGTAGAATATAAAAACTGTAATTGCCGTGGGCGAATTCATACGAGCTCAAAGACACGGTCCGGTACGTGACATTTTATTGTGTGTTTTGTGCTGTTTGTAATGGTATTATGATTGCAAAAGCTATTTTGATATATTATAGGAAAAATATTAGATGAAACGGAGCATAATCATGCCGCTAAGGCGGCAAAAGTAGAAACGCGAAAAACTATCGAAAAAATGAAGAAACGAGCTATACAGTCGGATGAGAGCATAAGTGCCGTCGTTGCTGCTGTTACTTCGAATGTGTCTGTCGGTGCGGCTGCCGAACTCCCGTCTACTTCTGCCCTTGCTCGGACGGTACAGCGATCTCGAGCAAAAATTAGTCCTCAGTTGCCAAATCCCGATTCACGCGAGAGCCTGATATTACCAGATATTTTTACGCAAACTTTGAGGGGTGACAAATTCTTACTGCACGATAACGGTGGCAAAGATCGATGCCTAATTTTTAGTACTGCGGAAAACTTGAAGATTCTGGCTCGTTGTAGGTTGTGGTTGGGTGATGGAACCTTTAAAAGTAAAAGTGTTTCTACTGTATTTGCGCAATTGTACACCATTCATGGCTTTCTGTCGGGCAAAATTTATCCGCTTGTGTACGTCCTGGCTCCTAATAAGCATGAGAGCACATATGCTACAGTAATATTGTTTTGAAAAGCGTTGAATCCCGCTTGAAGCCAACCCGGCTCATGATCGATTTCGAATCGAGCTTCGCATCGGCTTTTGTTAAATGCTTCCCGGACGCTGAAATAAGTGGTTGTCATTTTCATTTCGGGCAACGTATCTGGAGGAAAGTACAATCGGTTGGGTTGCAGGTGCGTTACGGGCAAGACAGCAATTTCGTCTTGAGTATCAAAATGTTGGTCGCGTTGGCTTTCGTGCCGGTAGACGATGTTATTAATGCTTTTGAGACTCTCACGCAATCAGAGTATTTTTCTGAGGATAATGAGTCTGTTGAAAGCGTCCTTGGGTATTTCGAGACCACTTGGATTGGGTCGTTGGATCGTCGTAAAAGGCGCCGTTCCCCTTGCTTTCCTATCTATATGTGGAATTGTTACGATGCGGTTGTAAATGATTTACTTAGAACGAATAATGCGGTAGAGGGCTGGCATCGAGCCTTCAACGAACGTGTGCGTATTAGTCATGCATCGATCAACAAGTTTATTAATGTATTGAAAAGCGAGCAAAGTACTCTCGAGTTGTTAATCGCGCAAAGTCGCGCCGGTCGTAAAGTACAAAATAAGAAGCGAAAAAAATATGCTGACTATGATAAGCGCTTAAAAAATGTTGTGCTTGGTTATATTGGTGCCAACATTTTGGAATATCTGTGTGAAGTTGCCAACAATATTACTTTGTAATTTTGATGACGATATTCGTGTGAGCCAATGGAGTCGTTGTTATATCGATTGCTTGTATTTATGTTGTAATAAACGCCAATTTTGCAATAAACGCCATATGTTCAGCGGTATTGTTGATATTTGTGAAAATATATGTCGGCGAGATATTTAGTCGCAAGATATTTAGTCACGAGATACTTTGTCGGTGAGACGTTTTGTCCGAGATATTTTGTCGGATATATTTTGACCGAGTTCACTTGTTACGCAGCCCTTGATTCGCCAGCTTGTCCACAATTTTAGAGATCCACTGCAGAAGCTTAGAGAGCGTCTCGTCACAGAGCTTGTACTTTTCCTCCACCGTTTGCTTAACTCAGACCGCGATGTCGGCCCGCTCGGCGTCGCAGAACTCCCGCTGGATCGCCTCGAGCAGCGACACCCGATGACCCTCCTTGTTCACCCCGCATGGACCTAACAGCCGATCGGCCAGCGATAATACCGACGCGAGCGGCCACCTTGATCGACACGCTCGTCCTGCCATCGCTCGACGTCACTATTCTACCGTTCCTAACGTCGAGGTCCTGAGCCGGATCGCCTTGTGTGAACGCTTGAGCAGGGCACCACCGGCGCCGACGGGTGAAACGGCCCCCGGGCTGGAGGTCTCGCCATTAGAAAAATACGCGGCCTGCTCCGCGCTGTAACTTCGCTTCGAGGTCTCGCTTGAGAAAGTCGTTTCGGTGGACTCACGCCGCGAGAACAGACTTTATATATTATTTAAGCACTCGGATACAGAGCACGCAGAGCACGCAAAATGTTACCGCGAGGACGTTTGGATCACGAAGGACGACAAATGACAATCCACCCGCTGCTACCGAGCGAGTTACGTAGGCGAGCGAACAATGAAAGCACGCGGGTCGCTTAGGCGTGAGGCGTGAGATGCGCATGAATCGCGCGTGAGCGGCCGGACCACTGAGGATAAGTTCGGGTGGAGATCGAGCTTGGATGAATAAATTAACACATTTCACGATCTCATTATATATAGACCCACACAATTTGCATAATTAAATAATGTAATAAAAATAATAAAATAATATAATGAAATAACAATTGCATTAAAATTGCTATTTCAATCGCTATGCGGGCATTTTGTTATTAAATATTATAATATAATAAATCGCGCGTGGATATTATAAATTATAATATATATACCTATCCAAATAACAATTCGTGCGGGGTCATGTTACCTTCACGGCGTGATTATCACACCATGCATGCACGAACGCATCATGCTCGCTTCACGAAGTGATTTTGAATTTACGTACCCAAATTTATATACGTATTTGTAACGTTTTTGCCATTTTATCTTATATTTAAATATTATTTTTATATGTAGTGCGATCTTTTACGATCAATATTATAATTCATCATCAATTATATATTAATCGTAAAAGTCATTGCACTCTATGTCATCATGTGTGTGTTCACTATGCCATCACGTGTGCGTAATCACTGTACCATCACACGTGTAATTACACGTGATGGCATAGTGCGACCTTCTATACGCGCACGTATGCCAAAATCACTTTGTGAAGCGAGCATGATGCGTTCGTGCATGCACGGTGTGATAATCACGCACGAATTGTTATCTGGGATAATACATATTAAACTAACAAAACGTATTATACTGTAGAATACCATGTATAATACATTGTATAATATCTCACGTATAATACGTGCCCAATCCTGGTTTAAATAATCCAATCTGTTATAAGATAAGATACTGAAATTATTATTTTATCAATTTTTTTAAATAGCGCTTGAGAAATCCATGCGTGCATGCGCGCGTGTGTACACGCGCGTACGTATGCGTGTGGGTATGTGTACTCTTTGCTAAAAATTATTTATTTTATTGGAAATAATGAAAAGTTAAATAATCTTTTTATGTTAATACGTTTTTGGTAATTAAATGTGTAATTAAATTTAAATTTAGATTTCAGAATTTATCTCATGCAAACGAAATGTGACATGCATTCTTCAAGCCACTCCTGTATTCATACTTCACTTGATTATGTATATCAAAATATATACATATGGACTACAAACTACAAAGGTAAATCATTTATTATATAATCTTCGTTATTACTGGCACGGTAGCCAGTTTGACGGAGCCCTAGGTTTGATCTTGGACTCCTGGAGAAAGAAACAATTATCTTTAAAGGTTTCATAGTATCTTAACTTTTATGAGAATAGAGTCTTAGTCCACTGCCTAACCTTCCTGGAGGTTAATAAGCTGTATATATTTCCGTTTAGGCCGAAATTAGATCATTATTTTGCTTTTTAATCATTTCCGATATCAATCTTTTATGAAAATTATGTTTCGTGTGTAAAATTTGTATTGTCTCAATAAAGGTTATGATTGAGTTCTAATACCGGCCTAAATCCAAACAAAGACAAAATTGTTAAATGTGTTAAAGGAATACATTGCACAAACCTTATGGGATTTGGCCCTCGGTGAAATTCGCTAAAACTTTAGTATGTAGACTCACTGTTTATTGCTCACTGATCAGAAGTCTCCACAGGCACAAAACTCTGCCATAGCTGGTTTTTTGCTACAACCATTTGAAGTGTTAAATTTGACATCATTAGAATGATGTTCTAAATTATTCTCTGTTAGTTAAGCTGAGAGATTCTAAATAATATGCACTCAGCTCATATATATCATAGTATTTGATGTTTATAAATGTATCTGTGTTTTTTATCTGCACGTGTGTGTATGTGTGTGTGAAGAAGGAGTTGGAAAAAGTAAATGCTTATAACTATTAGGAAAAAAAAGAAGTAATACAAGCTTTTTTTACACGTTTACATATATACACTCGCGCATACACATATATGCGTGCACATATAACTACGTGCACTTTATTAACGTGAGTCCTCTTGTTTCTCACGTTCAGGATTTCTTTTAGTTATGCAATATAGAAAAATATATAAAATATATACATATGTATATATATATGTATATATGTATATTAAAACATAAATTTTAGTTTTTGTCGCTGTGTGTGTGTTAATGCGAAGCATAAGTGTCAGTAAATGTTAAGGAGAAAGCACTCACTTAGTTTTCTTAATATAATACAAGTTTAATATCAACAATGAAAATTTAACAATATACAAATAAAAATCTCTTAAATTTCACGTTGAGCATTTACGCGATCGGTTTTCACGTCAGCAGACAATAGCACTTGTCTTCGAGCCGACGAGGCCGCGAGAAGTTAAAGCGCTGGGCGAGCCAAAACGCGAAAGCGGTGGAAATATTGTACCCGTGAAATAAGACCTGTGTCTTAGAGAAGAAGTGAGAAGAAGAGTGAAGGAAGCACCTTGCACAATTCTAATTTACACTCGGATTGTCGGAGGAGTAGCACATCCGAGCAATCTTGACACTAGCCGAGCAAAACCAAAAAAAAAGCTCGGGGCGCGAATCTCCGGGGTTTTATACCCCCTAAACTTCTCGAAAGTTCTCAGTTTAAATTATGACAGCCAATCATAATTCGACACGTCTTAGCAAGCACGGGGGCAGGCAGTGTCACGGCAGCGTCAACAGCCCAGCTGATGTTGACAGAGGTATCCGGTTCGCCGCTACACGTGATCCGCCTGTGCGACCCCGACACTCAAGTACACAAAATAACAAGTTGATATACAAAATAATATAGAACTTTCGAGAAGGAAATAATTCTTTCGCAATCGCGAACAGTGTGTGTGTGTGTGTGTGTGTGTGTGTGTGCGCGCGCGCGCGCGCGTGCATAGGTATATGTGTGTGTATATGTATGCGCGAGTGTATATATATAGACGTGTAAAAAGAGCTTGTATTACTTGTATTTTTTTTCTAATAGTTGTAAGCACTTTTTTCTCCTTCCAGCTCCTCCTTCACACACACATATACACACGTGCAAATAAAAAACACAGATACATTTATGAACATCAAATATTATAATATTGTTCAAGATTGCGAATGCTCGAGATCACGAATGTTCTTAATTATTCTTTACGGAGGTGGAATCACATCTCTAAAGAGACAAAGCTCAGCCGTCCTCAATTCTTGTCAGCTGTGGACTTGATTCTTAGTTCCACTAGTTTTTCTTTTGATGGTCAAATATATGAACAAATCTTTGGAAGTCCGATGGGTTCCCCTCTCTCTCCGATTTTGGCGGATATGGTCATGGAGGACCTTGAGACGCATTGTCTGCAATTGCTTAGTTTTCATATTTCCTTTTTTAAAAGATATGTTGATGACATTTTCGCGATTGTTCCTAGATCTGGTATTGACGAGTTACTTAGAGTTTTCAATAGTTATCACACCAGATTAAAATTTACATTTGAAATAGAAAAGAATAATTCTCTTAGTTTTCTTGACACAATAGTGATTCGAGAGGGGACTGTGTTGCTTACGAATTGGTACCGAAAGCCGACCTTTTCGGGGCGATACATAAACTATTTTTCGAATCACCCTCTCAAATACAAAATTAATACTATACGTAATCTTGTTGACCGAGCTATTCTTTTATCTGACGTACGTTTTCATAAGTCTAATTTAATCGAAATAAAAAAGATTCTTTCTAATAATTGTTATCCAATAAAATTAATTAACAAGTACATTAACATCAGACTTAACGAGCTACAGACACGTCATAATAATAATAATAGATCTAGCAGTAACAATGTAGCCCAGGATCCTCGAAAGTTTATTACTATACCGTATATTAAGGGCCTTAGTGACGATGTTGGCCGTACAATGCGCGATGCAGAATTCAGGGTTCTCCTCACCATTCCGAAAAGGTTGGATTGCATTATAAAAAGGGGGAAGGATACGCTACCGAATCTTAAGCAAACGGAGTTGATATATGAGATTGATTGTGCTAATTGCAACGCTGCATATATTGGTCAAACAAAAAGGCACCTAGAGACACGGGTTAAGGAACATTTTTGTGATATTAGGAAGAACAGCGATAATCATTCTGTAGTTAGTAAGC